TGAAAAGCCCACACGAATACAAGGAACACAACTGAACATCATTGCCCCCTTTCCATTTAAAAGGCAACTCAGTCATTCATTCCCATGGAGAAGTCACAGAAGAAACATGCATGGCTGATAACAAAGGGAAAAACAAATTTACTAATGCAAGTAGGCATAGATTTTGGTCCAAAGAATAACATGCATCTTAGTGATTTTAAAACTGTTCAACATCCCTGGAGATAAAATAATCCTTCACGTTCATTTCTACATTTCATAAGGTATCTTTGTGCATTAATTTTACTGAAGACCTTAAATGAAAGCAGTGAACAAGCACAATGCTCTCACTGACTTAGCTGGGAAAGAAAAGTCACTAACCAACCTCAGACTAAAATATACCCTTCTGACTTCACTGTGTGTAACAACTGCTGTTTTACTTGAAATTACTCTACATGTCCTCATATTTTAAGCTATTATTTGTCCACCCATGAGCTAGACAGGACAATTATTTAAGCTTCTTCTGAAACAGACCACAGAATGGTCTGGACTACTGAAAGAATACTAATATACAGATGTGACTGTTTTACTTGAGACTGGCAAACACACAGCGCAATCTTACATGAGAGAGCTCTGCCTCCACATCTGGAGATGTTTACAAACACTTCTCTCAGCATTTCTAGCTCCAGTCTAATCAGAGCTCTGTCCTTCCCCAGAAGTGATATATTTATTTTTAAGAAGAAAGCAGGGAAAATTAATCTAATGTATATGCCCATCTCCCTCTGAGCTGAACACGCACACTTTTTGCTCTGTGCCACATCTGGCAGTTAATGGCACTGCAAATTAAACATCAATTATTTTCTTTCCTTTATTTTGTTAAATGCTTTAAAAAAACAGTGTAAAGACCAGACAACCTGTAACTAACAGCAAAGTTCCCACAGCTTTCAGGAGCTGGCTCCTATAACCATAACTTTATTTGGACTAGCAATTGTTTTTTCATAAAACATAAGTACTCTCAACTTTCCATACTAATTATTTAATAATTGTATAGAGATGCAATTTAGCGACCATGATCTTCCTGTGGGAACCACTGACAATTTTCAGTGAAGCAAGCACAGGTCTGGTGATAAAGAACACCTTCAAGTCACCAGGAACTTGCACACTTGACTCCAGCATGCAAAGATGAACAGGCCCCAAACTGTGACTTGCTCAGTATTTTGCTTATTCTGACAAGTAAAACACAAAATATTTATATGCAAAGGTCAAATTAGTTCTGCCAATATGCTTTACTGCTCATTTGCCAACAATGGTTCCCATCTACCTTTAGTTCCATCTAAAGTAACTTAAAGTTTAAGGTTTTACTAATGCAGGTAGATTTTCTACAAAGCACAGCCAAGTCACCATTAGCCTTAAACTATATTTCCTCAGTATAATTTCTCTCTCTAAACCTTCACCTGCCTTCAGCTCCTTCAAGCTGGCATTATCTTCTCAATCTGTTACACTGCTCACATTGATCCTCCTCTTTTCACATCACTCTGTGTTTGGTTCACTATTTGAAATGCAATTAAAATAATTTCTTAATATATAGTACCACCCTAACTTTAATTGAATATTCTGCCATATCAGGAATACCATCAAGGTAGGGCATCGATGTATCTATCCAAAATGTCTCATCAAAAACGAGCAGCCAGATACATAGGTGAGATTATATAAAATTTCTCCTGATTCTTGTTGTTAAGCTGTTGCTCTCCATTCAGAAATCAGTGCTAGCCATCAAAAGTAGAAATTCTCTAGAGGAGAAAATGTCTACCTCTGTTGTTCATTTGCACAACAGCTAATACAAGGAAAACTACAGAAAGAACAGCCATGGCTTTAAAGTGTAAGTTGCAAGCACGAAAATTAGCTCTTAAAAAGCAGGTCTAACATATGTCAGTAACATTCAGGCCCACCAACCCTTTCCAGAGATCTCAGTCACAGGTGATGTCCAATAAGTGTCTGTTAAAATGTATTCCTGATCAGTCAAAAATACACATTTTTCCCAGGTATACTTAGGAACTGGCTTAATTCTTGCTATAATCTCTCAAATAAATCATAAAAATTATCAATATAGCTCTTCAGTGTTAAGTGCTTTTAAAAACCATGTGCTTAAGTAGCAAAGAAAAACGTGTGTTTTCAATAAAACATTTCAGCAGAAGCCTACTGGAAATCACCTCTTCCATGCAAGCTCCTGACCTCTTTTTCCATTACTGTTACTCCTATGACAGTTTAAGGAGCTGTGTGAACTAGAAACTTTGCAGCTGACTCTGTGAAAGTCTGATTGTCATCAAATGCAATACTTCAAACGTATGTAAAACACAGGGGTAGAGAAGAGCCAAAGATTATTTATAAATAGAAGTTTCACCAGTGTTAGCTTGCAAAAGAACACTTACTAAGGTTGCTTCAAATTAGTAACGCCTCCCTGCAGCATTGTGAGTGCCAAGTATCTGAAACACAGATTACAGACCAAATCAATACCCTTTTCAGAACCTTTGACAGGTAGTTTTTCTGATCAGCTCCAGATAAGCTCATAACTGACTCACCACCATGAGAGCAGAGGCCTGACTAGTTTCCTTCTCTGCATACATTTGTGTATCTACACATTTGGATATTTCACAATTGCAACAAGAGCATTAAGTCAATTAGTTTCTATGGTATAATTATACACTGCTTGGGTTTGGCCTCATGCCTCAGAACACTCTTGCAGTGATGACCTAGAAAGACACTGTCTAGCTGGTCTCACGGCCCGAGGGCATCACATCAGAGCAGCACTAACAAGGTGAACAATACTCACTGTTGCTCTACACTATTATATGTAGGCAATTCTTAAAACACTTGTAGCTTGCTAAATTACAGTTTGCTTACACTGACAAGTTACTAATTGACTAATCAAATCCCAGCCCCATTCTGCGCTACTCAGAATTGAGCCCATGAGAGTAATTCAGCTGGTTATGATACTCAGAGGCTCAGCAAATAATCTAAATGCTACTGAATTTTTTTAAACCTTAAGTAATGTCTCCAAATCCATGTATTTTAAAGTCACAAGTAAAATGCCACTAATGCACTGAAGGATTTGTTGTTTACTTCTCAGAGACATGACTTGGAGTTCTTCCTCCTGCCTTTTTAGCATATTTTGGCAAGACCTCAAGCTTTTCTTCAGAACATCACAGCTAAGAATTTCTTTCTCTAACTGAAAACATTTTCAAACTTTCACAAGCAGAGATGAGGCTTTCAGAAAAACTGTTAGAGTTGGAAATGCTACTTTTTATATCAACATTTCCACCTACATGGCAACAATACACGGGAGAAAAAGGAACCAAAATAAAACAAAATGTGATTTGCATATTAGTAACATGCAAATACGGGCCTGTGCAAAGTCCACTGAAGTTAACAGAGGGACTGACACTGCCTTCCACACCACTTGGATCTGGCCAGCACTGAAGAAAGATATGCAAAAAGAGAGAGAGGGAGGGTGCACTGTATCCCGCCAAGTAAGCACTGCTGCCTTAAGCCAAAGGGAAAGCAAGGCCTGTATCAAGAAAGAGAATGATGTGGGAGTTAGATCAAAGACTTCAAAAGAAAATGTAAGCGTATCACCAACACTGCTGCAAACCTTGAAACAGATTCACTCGTAAGAAATCAAATGTCTCACAATAAATCATTAGCGCTAATGCCATACAGCAAACTTGGTTGCCCACAACATCAGGTTCCTGCCTCCCCTTCACACACACAGTAATATATGTTCTGCATGTATATTGTGTTTTGCATTCATCAACTACAAAGTATCCATTTGTGTAATTTCTAGGAACTTAGAAGCAGTTGATCTGTACACAGGAGGTACAGAAACACAGTGAGTGGAAAAATCACTTAAAGCTAACATAGGGAAATATGCTTCTGGACTGTTATTCCTAGGTTTTTAGCATTTACCATTAATTTCTGAGAGGACTAATAATTTCTGTAAGGAATACCATAGACCTTAAGTAAACATTCTGAAATATCAGGAGTTACATCAATTTAGGGCATCAGTGTATGTATCGAACACTTCAATTAAGAATGAACAGCCAAATACATAGCATTACAATTAATAAACCACCATAAATGTTTGGGCAAAATGAATAAAATCCACTTCCTGTAGACAAAAATTACAAACTAGTAACACTTCATAGCATCAGAGTGACACGAAGAAATTAACAACTTGCAGCGTACTGCAGGCCAAAGCCTGGCCACTCTCACATAATGTTAAGAATATTTTTTAAAAAATGAAAAAGAAGTCCTAGAAACACCTTCCAGATTAGCTGCATGACGACAAACCAGGCAGGGCAGGGTCTGATGTAACACCACCCAAGGACACCAGAAAACCCCCCGCCCCCCCCCCCCCCCCCCCGCGCCCCGCAGGTACCGCGGGCAGGAACCGCCCCGTTAATGCTCCTGAAGGCCCCAACAACGAGCAGCCTCTCGCCAAGTTAATTAACAGCAACACACTGCCTAACAGCGTGCCCTCGCTGGTGACTCACTCAAAGGCTCACCCCCGGGGAAGAATGGATGGATGGAGGAGGAGGAGGAGGCAGCTGAGATGTGCAGGGGAGGAAGGATGGGAGGAGGGTGGGAGCAGCTTGTGGTGCCCGGTCCCCCCACCCCGTGTGCGGAGAGCCGAGAGGGGAGAACGAGGGGCAGGAACTGAACCTCGGTCTTTCCTTCTCGCCTGGACCGAGGCGAGAAAACGAGGGGGACGGAAAGCAGCAGCAGCAGCAGCAGCAGCTTCGCGCTGTTCCCGCCGCCCACCGCCGCCACGGCCGCCGAGGCAGGCAGGGAGGGAGGGGGGGTAAAATGGCGCCGCCCGCGCCGGGGAGGAGCCGGTTCCGCCACAGCGGCCGCCCCGCACATGGAAGGCGGCGGCGCCTCCCAGGGCGCGGGGAGGAGCCGGGGCGAGGCGGGGCCGCCACCGCGTCCTCCCGCTGCCGCTGCCGGTGTTCCCCTGAGCCCCTCACCTCAGCTGCTCCCCTCGCTTCAACTCTCTCCTCAGCAGCTCCCCTCAGCCCGCCCCTCACAGAATCGCAGGATCATTAATGCATATAAGTATCTCAAAGGCGAGTGAGTAGAGGATGGTGCCAGGCTCTTTTTGGTGGTGCCCAATGACAGGACGAGGAGCAGTGGCCGTAATCTAAAAACACACGATGTTTCGCCTCAACATGAGGACGAACTTCTTTACAGTGAGGCTGGCAGAGCACCGGAACAGGTTACCCAGGGAGGTCATGGAATCTCCCTCTCCAGAGGCATTCCAAACCCACCTAATGTGTTCCTACATCACCTGCTGCAGGTGACCCTGGTACCAATAACACCAAGGTTGTGGGTTAATCCCTGTATGGGCTATTTACTTAAGAACTGGACTTGATCCTTGTGGGTCCCTTCCAACTCAGTATACCCTAAGAATTCTGTGGATCACAGAATCCCTTTGGTTGGAAAAGGCATCTGAGATCATCTAGTCCAACCTATGACCAACCACCACCCTGTCAACTAGACCATGGTACTAAGTGCAACTCCAGTCTTTCCTTGAACACCCCCAGGAATGGTTGTTGCAGGTGCTGCCCAGTGGGCCATGGCCACCCCTTTCTTCCCTGTCAGCGCCAGGCAGTGCCGGGCAGCAGTGGGAAGAGCTCCAGGGCTGCTGTGAGTGCCAAAATCTGGGGGATTTTGGGAAGAGGCGCCTGGATCCCCCTCAGGAGGGAGATGTGGGCTTACACAGGTGTCTGGCCTCAGCACAGGTGCCAGCCCGCCCTCATCTCTGCAGCTACAGCCCTGTACAGGTGTTCAAAAATAGCACAGTGTGAGCAACAGCGATCCTGGTTTGTCTTTAGCCTTGTAAATACCACTGGATCCTTGCTATGGCATACCAAGTTGTACTACTTCAACCATGCCATTAGTTCTTCAAAGCTGTGCCAGGGAGGTTTAGACTGGACATTAGGAAGCATGTCTTTACTGAGAGAGTGGTCAAACACTGGAACAGCCTTCTGGAGAGGTGGCCGATGCTCCACACATGTCAGTGTATAAGAGGCATTTAGACAATACCCTTAACAATTTGCTTCAACTTCTGGTCGTCCTTGACATGGTCAGGCAGTTGGACAGGATGATCATTGTAGGTCCCTTCCAGATTAAATACACTGTTCTATGCTGGGATGATGAAAGGCGTTGAGGTGGTTATATGTCTGTGTTTTCCTCTGATTCCTGGCAATGCTGGCTTTCTTCTTCCTGTGTCCTGTCAGCTCAATAGGTTGATGGGGAAGGGCATGACTAGGTGAGCTGGAGCATTAAACCACCTTTCCTTTCATCTTTTAACCCTTCCTTTCTCCTTTCAACCTTTTCCTCCTTCGACACCTCCTAACTGTAGGTTTCTGTGAGTTTAGTTTGGTCTTTTCGCTCATCACATGCAGGTTTGTTAGGAGACAGGCTGATGTGTACCATGGTATAAACTGGAATTAATAAGTGGGACCAATAGAGGTAAATGGAATAACTCTTAGTGCTTTTTTCACCACCAAAAATCTCACTTTTCTTGGCAGTTTGCAGGGTGTATAAATTCCAGAGTTACACTCTGTCTTCTTCTTTGACCTTCTCAGTCTGTCTCAATTCAAATTCCTGCCTACCCACAGAACAGGGTTCATATAATTTCTCCTAGGACTCATTCTAAGAAACTGACATCATAGAGACTTCATAATTTTATGCAAATCTTAGTATTTTACTTCTTTTTTTTTGGGGGGGGAAGGGAGTGGAGGATAAGAAAAAGAGGAAAAAGAAAGCTCTGGTAACCACTGCAATGATCTTAACACTCCAGGGACTATCTGAATTCCAGTTTATTACAAAGCTGTCTTATTTTCTGTCTTTGTCTCTTAGCTTCCTTCTGCTACTCTCAGGTTGGTTTGGTTTTTTTTGGCTACCATTCACTCCCTGTCCTTCTTACTGCTTCGTATAAACACTCTGCCAGTCCCCTCTGCGTTGCTTCCTCCCTGTTCCCACCTCCCACATCAGCTTCAGAAAGACGAGGTGATTCTGTGGCTGGCTGCCGAGTGCTGCCAGCCTCCCTCCCTTCTGCTGCTGCTTACGATTATGGAAGTAGAGCTGATACCAACCCGAGCACTGACAGCAACAGGGCAAAACACCAAGATATTATCCTAGAGAACGAGAGGCCTTATGCTGCTGATTCTTGCCTGCACTGCAAAGTCTAGTGAGTGCTGCGAGGAGGATGGACTAAACTGTTCCTTCCTGTTAGACATTTTAAAATATCTGGGCAACCCCAGCCAAAGCAGGGTTACTGATGAGCATCCTGGCCAAAAGAAGAATCAAAGCGTTCTGTCAAGTTGTGAAAGGTACTGCAGAAAAACTCAAGGCAACTTAAGTTTTTAGCCAAATTCTGAGATTTGTCAAAACTTTACATTAAACTGAGGAAGGCAAGGCAGCATATTGCTGAGATTTCTATGCATAGTTTCATGTATATCAGAACTGGTAGGACATACTAATATGAAAACATAGAAAAATAGAGAAATTACTATGCCAGTTCCATATGGTAATTTTAATAAGGGGATTACTAGGATAATGTGGTTAAGCATGTCCACTGTGAACTACATAACTTCCAGGAGCTTGGAAAGAGGCAGTGTGACTTGGTGAGGTGCCTGAAAAAGCACTGACAGAAATATTTTCTGACAAACTGTATTGCTGTGCAGAACCCTTTTGCCTGCAGTGAGAGGTTACCAGTTCAGAAGGGATTGAAGCTGCTGCCCAGTGATGAGCTGGACTGATGAAAGAACATTCCCCCTGTTGCAATTTCTGTAGGTAATAACTCCTGGCAGAATAATTGGGCGAGATAGATACCTACTGGCTATGAAATCTGAAATCAATACAAGAAAATCTGCCAGAAGACAGGAGGAAAGAGGAGTGAGGTGTCCTTTCTAGTAGTGTGCCTTTCTCTAGCTCGTAAAAGTGCAGAGGCTGCTCCTTGCTTGGGTCTGAATTCTTACAATACTTCACAGAGAGGAAAAAAACCTGATCAAGTTTTTGTTATGCATTGTACAGAACCAAAAAAGGACACATACAAAATTGTTTCCCTTTCCAGGTCACCTTTCAGATCACAAGGTCATTATAAACTATCTCAGCACTTTTACAAGCTGGAGTCTGCTCAAACCATAATGCTTACAAAGTTTCACTTTGAATAAGCCTGATTTTCTCTGTCATTTGTTTTCACTTTTTATTTCTCTGCAGAACATAAAAAGTCAGAAAAAGATTTTATTTTCCCCCTACATAGCATATAATTTACATCAATCATCCCAGGAGGTCAGTACCACTGGGGTGTCATTTAAATACAATGAATATAAAGTAATGAAGCTCTTGCTGGAGTGGATGGCCACAATTCTCAGAGAGAGAGAGAGTTTCCAAAGCATGTGGAGAAAACACAACGGGAGACCGAGTGAATTCATCACACCACAAAAATGTCTCCATCCTGTCGACAAAGTCATTAAACGAAAATGAACCATTGTTACTCTAGACACTCGCATTCCTTCGGCATAATAACCTCAGTATAGAAGCACTGGGGCAAGGAGAATTTGCACACACAGGAGAAAAAAAAATTCAATCTATTAAAAAAAAAACCATAATCCGGATTATGTAATGAAAGAAATCCTCCTTGCTCCAAAGAGGAGACGGAGCCTCTGCAGAAGCCACAACTAATAAGGAACCGTATGCAGTGGTACAGGGCGGTTTCTTCTCCTCCAGCCAACAAGTCAAAGTAAATGCCAACCCAGACAATTTTTTTCAGATAACTCACAAATTATGTTCTCCTTTAATTACACAAATGTTTCTACCCTTTGCTGATCCATAGCCACCCTGGTTTTTAAGATCCCTTGTTGAGATTTCCCCAGTACCATTTCCTTTTTTGTATTCATTTACTTCCAATAATTTCTTCAGTCTCCATTAAAGCAATCTGTGAGGAATGCAGGGATTAGAAGGGTTTGCTGTGTTCAATTTTATTTAATTTTTTGGCAAAGCGTGTCTGAATAGGAGAAAGTGTCACATGCCTACAGTAAATCACAGCATATACCAGTTTATGAAAATAGATTGTACTTCTGTGGATCTCCCTCAAGGAAATACCACTTTAAAGCAAACCACCATGCAGCCTCTGGTCAGAAAACATAGTGTTAGAAAGCTGCAGCAGAGATCCCTCCCTTTATTATAAATTATTCCATAGTATGGCAAAGTCCTCTTTGCCATACTAATTAAACCAGAAACTTGCTAATTAAATTACCACCTGTAACTGTCAAAACCATAAAGGAATATAATATATAGATTATCTTTTTTTTGGTTTTGATACAAAAGCACTACCTTGATTTAAGCAAATAGTGAAAAGGAAATCTCTGCTTTATTTATTTTTAGTAACTGCACGGGAACAGGGAACCTGCTCCAAAGCGAGCAGAGCTACTGAGGTAACACATGCCAGCAAACACCAAATCATACCTGTTAATTACAACAAATATGCTCACAGACAACAGCAAGAATGCTATTTATCCATCATTTACAGCGACTGAAGTGGAGGGAAGGGAATTGGTTTCCTGGCAAATGTCCCAATTAATTGAGCATGCTATTTATTAGGGTGCTGATTAAAGTGTACTCTGCAATATAATAGTCGAGTATGAAGTTGCCAACTCTTATTCACTCCTGGCTTGTATGGATGAAAGCAGGAGAGTAGACTAGCACAATATGAAAATAATGATGCATTCCATGCCAAAATGGATTTAAGGCAATTCCAATGCCTGGAAATTAAAGACCTGGAGAGACAGAATTAGGCAGCACCATGATCTTGAGGATAGAACCTTATGTTGTGTAATCCAGTTGTGTGACCAAGACTTTCAATCTGTAGTAACCATTTTGCACATGTATTAACACTCCTCTCAGAAGCCAACACCGTAGGCACGCCCTTAAGTAAGCAGCATATGAATTAAATATAAAGCAAGATAAAAGCAAGATAAAAGCAGAGTTTTGTTCCTGACTGATCAGGAACTACTTTAGAGGGGTCCTTTTCCCAGCCACCGACTCCTCCAGCCTCTCCAATCAGCTGCCCTAACTGAGACTGTGGCTTAAATCGTTGTTGTTTGTTGTACCCTTTTCAAAACCATGGCTTCCACAAATGAGGTTGGGAGTTTCCACACACAATCAAGGAGGCTTATGCTAATAATTGTAT